CACAACTCATAGTTAACTTTTAACCGAGGTTCAACTTATTTCTCATCTTTTTCCAATTATAAAATTGGAAAATGAATAAGTTGAATCTCGGTTATGAGTTAACTGTCAGTTGTGGAACTGGGCTTGAATCTGAGATCAAGACCGGTATCCATAGTCTGTTCTTATTTTAAGAGACAAATCGAGATGCTAATACAGCCCTCTGATTGGTTCATGACATCTTAATCTATCTATACTTAAAACGATACTAAATATAAGATCTAACTATGAATACCATCCCAAAATTTCTAAATTTTAAAATAAAAAATAGCGAAACCGTATAATGGACCAAAAATGAAAAAAATGGTCTTTAAAACTTCGTTTTTAGGTATGTTGATCGCTGCATCTGAGAATCTGAAGATCATTATTAAAACCTTTCCCACTAAATAATTTATTTTTATAATTTACTAAAAGTTATTAAAATTATTGATCCGCCATTGAATTATAAAATTCTGACTTCTAATTCATAATTAATGACCCAAAAAATTCCCAGATATAAAGTTTCAAAATATCGGTTTCATACAAAAATTCATGACACCAAGGGTTAAATGTGAATGAAACACGAGGGACTTTCTAACATCCCTGCTAAAAGTTCCAAGCATCCATATATAAATTTAAACATCTGGTTAAATGTGATTTCTTACACTGGAAATTCTGTTATCCAAAATACATTTGGAGTTCCAGATAAGTTCCACGTAAACTCTTGTCTGCAAATCCCGTTTTATCCGACACATATTTGGAATTCACACTAGCTTTGTCTACGAATCTTGTTCTGTCCGATGCATATTTGGAATTCCAGATAATTCAAAATAAATCCGTTTATCTGTTTTCAATTGAGTACAAATCTTCATGCAATTACAGATTCATCTTTTATTGGGAAATCCATAAGAAGTCGTCCATTAATTTAAACACAGGAATACTTATATAAACCGGATTATATTATTTCCTGATAAAAACTAGTAAACTCTATGTCGTAAATTCCTTGCAATACCTAACGTATTTGGAATTACAGATGTAAACAGACAACATTTTTATCTGAGAATCCAACTATGTATTATGAAATGGAAATGCTTATATAACCAGATTTAATATTTACTTGGATGAACTTTATGCCAATTAAAGATTAATTTGTCCATGTCTATCCTGATGTGAGCATATGTACTTTTTATTTGGACATAACTGGAATTTTTAGCAGAGATTGCTCAGTCTCTAATGCTTGATACCAACTTACATATAATATACATAGATTCATATAAATTATGAATAAACAGAATATAGAAGTATATATTTTAAGCATTTTGTATCTCTGAATATACGAAAAATCATAACAGAGAGAGCAATACTAGTGATTTAAGTATACTTTAGAATTACATTTCAAAACTGAAAATTAAATCAGTTGGCAAAAAACTGGATGTGTATATATTAAAAATTCACACTGAAATATTATATTAAACATTGAGATTTAGCTCCGATCGAATAAATACTTTCCTACTCAAAACAATATCTACGTTCATTATTATTCATTAAATATAGATATATATGGATATATAAATACATAAATAAATAAAAAAACATGACAAAATAGAAAATGTTCGATTGTAGAAAAATAAAATAAAATTATATATACATATGTACACGTACTGTGAATATTTAAAATTATACTTATTTTCAAAAAATATGTTTAGAAAATGTAACACAGATTTTTTTATTTTTTACTATGTTTAAGATATGAAGGAAACAAAATTTGAAATGTTCTATTCTCCAATATTCAATTTTTATAATTTTGCAAATATCATATATGCTATAAATATATATATTTCTAATATCTATTCTCATATTCAAAATTTGTAAGTCCTAAAAAGTATCCGATAAGAATTGATACTTGATAAAAATAAAATAAAGAGCTATATATGTAACAATTACATAAACACATTTATATCATGATATATATGTACATTTATATTTGTAGATAATCGTTTTTTTTTAAGCGTGGAATAAAGTTATGTTTTTGTAAAATATCTGATTAAAGATTTGATAATTATGTATTATGTATTATTGCCAATATGATATTCGATACATAAATAATTTTTAACAATAAGAATTTTAGGATGTATAGATAAATAAGACAAATAAGTTTATAAAGTTTTAATCTGTTACAAAAAAGTTCACACGTTCTCAATATGCAAATAAAATAGCGCTGCGCGTAGTTATTAATTTTTCCTGATTTATTTAATACATGAGTATCACACAATGATTTTAGAAAAATAAGAGTAAATTATAATATTATTAGAAATGTACACAGTGATTATAATGTGTATTACCTTCATATGACAAAAATTGTAATAAAAAAAATTAATGTATAAACGTGTGTATGAGAATAAGCAAAAACTGCAATATCTTTATATTCAATTTGATTACGATTAGAACTTGCCAGACTTCGTATAATACGATAAATATAAAATGCGTGCGCGCGCGCGCGTATATAGAGAAATTTAAATATCAAATTGTGTATAACAATCACGTATTTTTTAAACAAAAACAAGAAATTGATCCATTATTAATGATACTTTTATAAAACAAGACGTAGTACTTCGTATATTTCTGCATAATGTAATAATATTCGTAGTGATATTTATTTTTAATACAACTTTATATAACTTGTTAAATCATCAAACTTTTCATGTTATAAATAATTTAATTTGCGCGCTAAATGCATAGAATTTAAAGAAAATTTTTAACAAGATCGTATACGTTTGCCGCGAATTTTTTTTACTACTATTCAATCATATATAATTTACTCATGGACACAAATATTATTGCATTGCACAATGGTACGATAATTATATTTATCTCGATAGAGTGATCTCGCGCAGAAAATGCATTCTTGAAAGAACTGGAAATATTTTTTTCAGTTCGCAAGCAACACGGCTGTTATATAAATCAGGGTTGGTAAAGATTAATGTTTTTTTTTAGGAATAAAACATATTGTGTTTCTTCTTGATACATTTTTAATGCTTCAAATATGCTTTAAACAGTACTATAAAAAAAACATTTAAAACATATTAAAAGCATCAATTAATCATGTTTTAAACTGTTTAAAACACGTTTAAAACATGTTTTTTACCAACCCTGGACTATAAACAAAATGTGTATGTGTATACATATTTTGACAATATATTGTATATTCGTGTACCGTATTACAGAAAAAAAAAAGAAATTTATTATCTATAGAGAGAAAAACTCGTTGAACCATACGAGAACGGGACTTTACACGAGGATGTATAAAATGCATATTGCATGACGCACACAACAATCCCAAAGAATTGGCTATCACTATGCAGTTACAATAAATTGCTATTACATTATTCGAATAACAATACGAGTGTATAATTATGTGTCTATGGAAAATGGAGTACCAAGAACTTATATGTATATATAAAATCTATCTTAATCATATCCTACGTATTATGTGTCAGACAGTTCTTGGTATCGCGCATACATCATCTTTTTCACACAATCCTTGTAGGTATCGCCCGGTAGTGCGCTATACGACGAAGTTTTCGCTCCTAAGCCGGCCGTAGGAACGCGCCTCTCCGCTTCAATAATACTTGTTCGACCTTGATTAGATTTTCCTAAACCCATTCCTTCGCTCCAGCCCATCTTTTGCAATAATTTATTGCCAACGTTATCGGACCCGATACCGGCTCGTGTAGGCTCCTCGTACGATACCGACATCTCCTCTACCTTAGTTTTTAAATATTTCTCCTTCAATTTATTGGGCTGCGGTGGTTCGGGTTCACCGTACTTGGCTCTCCTTTCCTTGGCACGGTCTCTGTATTTATTATTTCTCTGCTGTGGATCATTGGGATCCAGACCACGTACTTGATACCAGTTTTCCAGGTTTTGTTTGTGAAGATCAGACAACTGTTGATGACGGAGCAACCCCTCCTTGCTTGGGAATTGTCTTTTACAGAGTAAACATGCCAGCTTACTCCAATCCGTATGTTGTCTCTCTTCCTGTTGCACGTCTTCTATCTCCTCCTCTGTATCACTACCGCCTCCGTAAGCAGCTACCAATCCATTACCGCTTTGATCTTCATCCTCGTGATAAGGATTCGCGATAGTTTTCTTTTCCAGAATGGCATATCCTGCATCTGCCGCGCCACTTCCGACACCCTGATTGCCATCCATACCGGCGAACTCAGAATTCCAGTTACTCTTGGCGTTCTCCTTTTTCTGATTTAAAGTCTTTGCCCAACGTTCCATATCTTTTGCTATCTTCTTCGCTACTTTTACTTTGTCTTGTTTGCTGTCCTTCTTTTTATTCTCGTCCTCTTTTGATGCCTCCTGAGCATTACCGGCTGACAAAGCTTTATTGCTGATTGTATTCGTGGAATCTATACTACTTGCCATTGCTGTTATCGTGCTTGTAGCTCCATGCATTGAACTTGCAGTAGTCTGTAACAATATGAAAATATTCGTTGTGATATTTTTAAACATTGATAAATGATATGATTTTCTTTTATAAGATTCTATTTTAATTACTTTAGCTGGTTGATAAGAGAATGATTCGGCGTCCCAATAAAGAAACTGTTGCGTATGACTGTTATAATAATATTGCGAGTTTGGGTCATAATATAATCCCGTGCTAGGATCATAATAGTAGCCAGATGATTCATCATAATGATAAGTGCTGACGTCCGGTACAGCTACAAAAATAATGAATACAGAACAATTAAAAAAAATCAATTTATCTAAAATAAATTTCAAAAGTGGAAAAAGTTCTATAGAAACTCACAGTATATTTTCCCATCGCTGGAGTGTGCAGGAATCCTTCCGCTCGCTAATGCTGTACTGGAAGGTGCTGTAGGAGTTGGCCGTCCTTTCACGTCATCGGTTTCACCTCCTAGCTTTCTGGACGCCTGCAATTGTTGTATAGCGGATTGCGCTACCGCCGCGGCCGCGTTTACTCGATCTGTTTGATTCAGGGATGGCAATGTGATTGCTGAACCTTGCATTATTTGATTTTGATAGTACTGCGTGTAATACTGAAGGTAATGAGCCTTCTGTGCAGGCGTTTTAGCATACAAATTGGCACTATATTCAGCCAATTGAGCGACATCATCCAAGGTATATCTCTGTGGCTGAGTGTCATTCGACTTCCACGCGTTGGCATTATTAATTTGATGAAGTTTACAGTACGTTATCTCCACCTTTCTGCCGTCGACCACCAGTCCTTGTTTCGTGAGTGCGGTATGCAAATACATAGCATCTACTACATTGCCCATCTCCAGGTAGCATACTCCTCTAGACGTGTTCGTGAGAGAATCACGACCAATCCGAATACTACGTATTGGCATCGATGACAGATTCTTCATTGCTTGCAGAACCGAATCCTCAGTCGTTAATACGTCTAATCCCCGTAAAAGTACAGTGTTTGTGGGATGCGGGCTGATTTCGTCGCTACCTTCCCCACCTTCCTCGCTCTCCGCTCGTGAGGCAGAACACTTGAAGCAAGTCTCGCGTCGTTTGAAATTATGTGCTCCACACTGTATAGAATAAATATAAAGCAATAATGAATTATTTACGAACATCATATTCTATGAAAGAGCAAACTTGTGACACAAACCTTAACGCAGTGCCAATCTTGCGTATTCTTCGCTGGCGGTTTATCCACATGGCACTCTTTCGGTATACTGTACTGCATCAGTGCACGATATTGATCCTGCAGCATCAGTACTCCCTGAAACAGAGAATTTCAGTGTTATCCCGTCCAACGTCTTCCTAAGGCCTCTTTTCTTTCCCGTAAACTTTCTTCTTGGTTGACGAAATTACAGTTTTCTACTTCATAGCTTTCTGTCTCAAACAGCGAACAAAGCCTCATGGGCTTATTAACATGGGTCATTCCATACCGCTTGCAGATAAACTTGTTCATGCGCGACTTATATATAGATAATCGTCATTTAAATTTTCGTAAGAAAGTGCAGGCAAGTAACACGGGAATTGCTTGCACGTAATAAATTTTCATGTTTGAATAAAAAATTCTTTCATTTCGTGCACAATTTCCATAGAAACTTTGAACATCGCAAGTAATTGTATTAAAAACTAAGCAAAACGGAAGAAGCAAAGATATAAATAATACAATAAAAAAGCGAATTACGCGAATAGCAAAAATCGTAGTTCGGAATAACGTGCCAAATAGAAAATACATAATCAAAACGATATAAAAAATGATTGGAATGACCCTACTTCGGTCTTTATAGTTAGTCCGCGAATTTTAGATATGTAAAAGCACGCGACGCGGCGGAATCACAAACGCAAACTAAATCCAATATTGCGCGAGTATTGCGAGCGAGTTTAAGAAAAGTCGGCAAAATATGTGGGGATTCCTAGATAAATAATTAAATACGGTAGATTGAAATAGTTTTTTATAGGTGCACAGCCGTGGCCACGGGGAGGGCCAGAGGGCTGCGTTACCGTGCCTTGCCGCCACGGGGCAGTCGGTGGCACGCGTGCAACAACGCATCGGTTGGGTATCTGGACCGAACTTCTTTCTACCTGTTTCATCTCCATCCATCGTGCGGCCTCCTGAGTCGCGTTAAACTCGACGAATGCGAAACCTCGCGAAGCACCTATACAGAGCAAATACACACATATCCAGAGTTAATCCACGTTTTTGCCTGGGTTTCTCTACTCTGAGAGGGCAGGCAATCACAGCACCGACCATTGACAGACTGAGTTTCAAACGAAGTGTCTCTTCGCTTCGTCGCTTGCTTTCATTTTCCATTTACCTAAATTTTAGTAGAACGAATTCTGTGCGAGAGACCGAAGTTCACCGATATGTACGAGATAGCATATAATTTAAAGTTACGAAATTTTTTTTTCTCTCTTTTAAACGCCGAGTCTTTATCTGACCGAGACAAAAATTTCTTAGTCCTTTTACCCTTCCACGTGAACAGACGAGAATGACGTAAAGACTTTTTGAGGATTAAAAAAACCGCCGACAACAATAACCGAACCCAGACATGTATTCACCGTGTACCGTTTATAATCTGTAGTAGCAGTTCAATTTATAGATTAATGTAAGACATCGTTTTAATAATTTACAATATCATTTTATTTTTACTTGCAATATGAAGCTTTAAAAGCAAGGAAAATTCAAGAGGCAGTAAGAAAAACTCAATCTTTTAAAACATTAATTAGCAAAAGTTTGTGCACACGCGCGCGTGCGTGTGTCCTGTGCGTGCACATATATACATATATACAGGGTATCTGCTAAGTTTTGACAAAGCGTTCGTGTGTAGATAGGATTAAACTGAGTCGAAAAGTCCTTCACCATTTTGTAATTTTCACAATAGTTAACGAGATATTAATTACTAAAAATTGCCGAATTTAACATTAATAGTTAACGATATTAATTACTAAAAATTGTCGAATTTTGGTCTTCAATAATTTTTTTCTCAAATACTATCAACTTTACAGAAAAACTGCAAGAGACAAAAATTGTTTATTTTCTTCTTATAGAACTCTGAGAATTTTTTCAGAATTTTTTATTAACTTTTTAGTACTGCATATTTTTCTTATTTTTACCAACATGAGAAAATATAGTATTTAAAAATTCTGAAAATATCTGAAAATTTTTTCAGAAATTTATGAGAAGAAAATAAACAATTTTTGTCTCTTGCTGTTTTTCTTTAAATTCGCGATAGTATTTAAGTAAAAAATTATTAAAGATCAAAATTCAGCGATTTTTAATAATTAGTATCTTGTTAATTAGTGCGAAAATTGCAAAATAGTAGAAGACTTTTCGACTGAGTTTAATCCGCTCTATCTACACACGAGGGCTTTGTTAAAACTTACCAGACATCCTGTATATACATATAATATGTACATATATTTATATTTTTGCAATTACACTTTAAAATATCTTTCAACTATCTTTGAAACTTCATGTTACAAGAGAAATAAAAAAAAGCTATATTATTATTAAAATAATGTCTTTACATGTAATAAGAGTATCCTAACTGAAGAATTGTTATATGTTCCAGCAATTATAAATGTAAGTTATATTACCCCTACTGAAACAGTCGCGAATCTACCATTAAAATATAAAACGTAAGATCTTTTTTTAATTTTTATAGATTATATTATTAAGAGAATATAATAAAAAGCTTTTGAGTTGTTTCATGTGAGAGATTTCTCAATAAGTTTCAAAATTCCTCTCCTATATTTCTCTATACTTACCTCTTATAATCGATAATTAATAATCAATAGCTAAACCAATAATATTTCGGGAAATATGTACAAGTAGTATCAAGAAATATGATAATCTTAAAACTCTAAATAAGTAGCAATTTGTAAGAAACTCTTGTAAATCTCAACTCTTGTGAATTTATAGGATACGATTTTTTTGTTTTTATGTAATTTGGTAAACGCTAAAGGTTGTATATATAAACCTAGTGATACACAATAATATCACAAATAATAATTCAATTGGGATGCATAATGATATTACAAGGATGTTAAAATTTTTAATATAATGTAATAATTACCTGTATCTTTTTTCCGTATTAGCCTGATGTCCTTAGGCATGAGGCCACAGTTGAGAATGTCTTGCCGCACCTGTGATACACACATCATAATAATAATAGTGGATGCAATTCTCGATAATGCTGGCTCACGAGTGGCCACTACGATTGGCCACAAAGTTGACAACCTACGTCATTTTCAGTAATATGCTGAGCGAGCCCACGTATCATTATGGTGTTGTTGGGCGATTGCGATTTGTAGTGGATCCCTTCCATGGACGAACCGTAGGCACGACCATGATCGTGCTCAAAGTCCAAACTTTCTCGACTATGATCGTCATCGCGATCGCGATCCCGATCCTCCCGTTTCCCCCTACGGTCCCTATCTCTATCCCGATCCCTGTCGCGTCTGGAACGGTCTCTATCTCTGTCTCTGTCTCTATCTCTGTCTCTTTCTACAGAGTCCCTATCTCTCTGTCTCCCATAACGATCTTCGCGATCCCTATAACTGCGATCACGATCGTCTCTGCTACGGTCTCTTCTATCCCTCGAACGATCTCTTTCGCGATCTCTGTCTCTTCCACGGTGATTTCTGTAATCCGGACTACGATGATCTCTATCACGATGATCAACATCACGATGTTCTGAATATTCTGGTGATCTGTTGTTTCCATAATCACTACGATAGTCATAATCGGAATTGTGACTTCTTCTTTCTGGCCCATAACCAGGCTCCCATGGGTCGATGTTATTGCTGTACATGTTACTTGCACATTTATTCAATTTCTGAAAAAGAAAACAAAATAATCATTCTTCTTCAATCATTAATAATTACAAAAATTTTGATAAACGATTTATTAAGACCATATATGTGAATACACAACAAGTAAGAGTTTAATGCCTATTACAGTTGAAGCTATATCTTAAAGATGTTTTTTAAATAATTTCTATGTGAATTTTATATACTAAATATGTAATTATTTGAACTACATTTTTTTGCAATAAATTTATTTAGTTTTTCAGTACATTAACATCTTTCTAATAGGATGCTAGATTGAGCATCAAATTATTAAATTGCTTATCAATTTAATTTGTAATATTTACTATAGTAGTTTAATTGCGTTTATAAGTCCGAAAAATCATTTCGGCGCGCAGTTCAAATGACTACTATTTAATATATAATTCATATAGAAAATCCGCGAGGAATTATTTAAAAAGCATCTAAGATCCAGCTTCGACTATAATAGGCATTAAACTTTTACTTTTATTTTTATACAGGATATTCCAAACAAGTATTAAATAATAGGGCGATTTCTAACAAGAGACACAAATGACACAATGAATTATTATATCCTTGTTGTTCGCCAATGTTAAACAAAGATGAAGTGATCACTATGGCTGCTTTCCTTTTAAGACACAAATCGACACAGTATAGCACACTCGAACACAATTTCCCACACATAAATGAAACGCGATATGTGCAGTGTGTGTATAGTGTGTACGAACTTTTAATACCATTGTAATTTTTTATTAACATTTGTGAACTAATTCTGTACCGAGACACTACCGTGTCTCCAGATATTGAAAACAGAACAAAATGATAGAAATTAGTTTGCGGGTGCGTTCTAATATCACTTAATTCATCAAAATGACACTTGAACAGACTCGAAACACACTCTGACTCTCCTCCCGAGCAGAGGCGAAGTGTGTCGATTGAGTTTGAACAAAATTGTAAATGGAAAGTGACGTGTGTCGATTTGTGTCAAGTGTGTCGACTGTGTCTCCTAAAAGGAAAGCAACCTATATATCATCTGTGTCACTTGTTGGAAAACTTTCATAAAGCTTTCAAACATTAATTTTAATTTTACTGTTTTTCTTTTTGTACATGTATAAACATATACATTTCAATATACAATATACAAAAATAAATATAAGCTATATATTTATAGTATTTAGGTATGTATTATTTAATTCCTCCAACATATCTAGGTTGTATTACTGAATAAGTATCATAATTTAGATAACACAAAAATGCACTTTAGATTTTAAAATAATATTTAAAAATACAAATATGCATCAGTAACAAAAACAATGCAAATGTATTATTTATTATATGGTAGGTTATTTAATATTAACAAAATTGATCTTTTTGTCGAGGAGTATAAAAACATTTATTTAGAAATGTTATTTTACACTTAAGCTATGTTCAAAAATGCTACCCAAAAACTTTTGAATATTATTTTCTCTTTCACTTAGACTAATTCTACAATGTGTTTTTTGTTTCCTGTTTCTTGCTATTTGTCTCTTACCTTCTTGATCAAAAAAGCAAGAGACAAACAGAGACAAACAGCAGGAAACAAAAAGCACATTGTAGAATTAGCCTTAATGTTAAACAAGGATAAAATGATAAACTCAGAGGCACTCTGGTAGTGTCTTCAAATGCAATCTTATAGTTTAAGATTTTTTCGAAATTTTTCAGTTTTTTAATAGCTTTTTCATTTCTCAAAGAAAGATTTGATTGAGTACAAACATACACACACAGGGTGTTTTCCAACAACGTACACTGCTGTTCAATAATCGAGTCTCACTTTAGTCGCACTTAGATGTAGATGAGCGCGCATACATACCATTGGGAGCTACACACTTCTCCACCATCCTACACTCGAGGAACTCGATTAATGAACAGCAGTGTACACAATGTAACACTGTGTCTTACACTGTTCCAACTATGACACAGTGTTACACTGCTCGACACAGTAAAAAGCTAAGTACGAGCGTGTAAAATATGTCAATGCTACCAACTTTCAAAAAGTTATTTGGTAGCTGTACTTATTTTGCAATAAAACCTTCAAAAATCGCTAATTCTGACAAAATTATAACTTAAGTCTAAATAAAAATCTTAAATCTATTATTGATACGCAAGTATAATTATAAGAATAGAATGGAAAACTAATGCGTTCTAGTGTTATACTATGGCTGCTTTCCTTTTAGGAGACATAGTCGACACACTTGACACAAATCGACATACGTCGCTTTCCCGAGGGGGTAACCACTTAATGTAATCGTAGGATAGAGTCCTCGAAATCATTATAAAATTTATATAAAATCTCTATGTATAATCCGATAATTATATATGCAATCACGAGAAATCATTGTATAATATTAAATAAAATCGTATATTTTACCAAATTACTTCATAGTAGTGAAAAAAATTATTTGTAATCAGATGAAATCATGTAATCTGTGGGACAATATTTCAGCTAGTGATTACCCCCTTGCGCTTTCCATTTACAATTTTGTTCAAACTCAATCGACACACTTCGCCTCTGCTCGGGAGGAGAGTCAGAGTGTGTTTCGAGTCTGTTCAAATGTGATTTTGATGAATTAAGTGATATTAGAACGCACCCGCAAATCGGATCTCGTGTGATCGGATCTCGTGTGTGTTCCCGTTAAGATCAAAATTAAAATCTTTTAACGTTAGGTATTAAAAGTTCGTACACACAATATACACACTGCGCATATCGCGTTCCATTTAAGTGTAGCAAACTGTGTTCGAGTGTGTTATACTGTGTCAATTTGTGTCCCCTGAAAGAAAAGCAGCCTATGAAACTAAACTGCGTTCCAACAAGTACTTTACACAGTGGAACACAGTGTAACGTCTCTGTGTCCTAGCCAGAAAACAGCCACGCACACACGCACATTTAGTTTTTTAAATAATTTTACTATTTAAAGACTTGTGATCTTGTCATTTTCTCTCTTTAAATAGTGTAATTTTTTTATTCAAAAACTGTGAATATGTCCAAAACAAGCTGGAGAAGTTATTGCAAATGTACAAAACAGAATATGTACTCAATCAAAAATTTTCTTCAGAGTATAAACTTCCAAAAATTTGGGAAATATCTCTTAAACTCCGAAGAAAAAAAATATATAAAATAATAGATAATATTTCTTATACTACTTTTAAGAACCTTAATCCCATTAATATTTGAAGTACAATGAATTGTGTGAAAATTGCTTCAAAATAACCATATAACATCATAAATACATACAAGACACAGAATTTCAAACGTCCTTTTAAAACTTTTAAATTCAGATTCTTTATCACTCACTACTTAAATATATTAGAAAAAAAAAAGAATTATAAGTCGATACAATACAGCAACTTTATGAAACTGTGTGATAGCAATAGAGTTTATATTTCATCCAATGTAATAGAACTGATAACAAGCGGTAATAGGTCTATTCGCTTTGCTTGCACTTTTTGTATATTCAGCATCTTCGCTTTCTTACTTTCTTTTCAACGCCCAAATATATATTTATCTCATTTTAAATTCAAAAATTTTGGGAGATTTCAAGCAACACAAACAGACCTAATGACTCGGTAAAGCGCAGATAACGAACATCCCAGCGAGGTGTTAACCGCGTTTCGAGTAAAAATACGCAGTTTGGACAGCATGTCTCGCTGAAGTCACAACGCGAGTATACCAATATGTACATTCCAAGTTCCGAATTACGCATAAAGCGCATGAGGTATTTTATTCTTTATTCTTCGGTGAACAAGGAAAAATTATGCATTACGCGCTTTGTGCGTAATTCGGAACGCACCCAATATCTCAGCACATAACGCAGTGTTGAATAAACCTTACCAGCTCCAACGATTCCTCAATCCTCGTCTTGATCTATGCGAATTGACCTCCGAACAATGACAAGGAACGCTTAATATCCGTTATTTCACGGTTAGCTGAATGCACGGCGAACGGAATATATTAATTGATATTAATGTAACTTGCACACAAATGATAGTACCGAATACCTCTTCTGACCTCTTCCGATCCGCAAAATATGGCGAACACAGGTCACGGAACAATGGCGAGTATAGCGTATGCGTTAAAGCGTATGGTGATTCCGTGAAGAACATGGTGGAAGGCATATGCTGGATTCACACTGCATCCAATTTGCGTCGTACGATGCTCTGCAACCAATCAGAAAGGATTCCGATGGATTTTGCTTCGTATCTTCGAAATCCAGTTTTCTGATTGGTTGCAGAGCGTCGTACGATTCAAATCGGATGCAGTGTGAATCCAGCAATAGGCCTGTTGCACAACAGTAGATGGTGCGGTCCATTTGACGTTACAAATGCTTCGCAAATGTTTGATTGACCAATCGGAAGAAAGAATTTTACTAATAGCGTTTTCGGCCCGATCGGGTTTGCACCAACTTTGGTTGGATAATCTTTCCTATTGGTTAACGTCACCCGCTCTACCAATAGGAGAGCACAAAACGCCATTAATCCAACCCAGGTTGGTGCAAACCTGGCCGGGCCGAAAACGCTATAATTGACAATTCAAAAAATACTTTGAAGCATCAAGTGGACCGTAGCCGGAATCGCCAAAGATAGCCAATCAGGATACTGCTTTAGATCTACGTACTCTAACGGAAATAGAAATAGCAGTAAACTTATAGCGTTTTCGATTGGGGTGCACTGGCTGCACTCAGTGTCAAGAGCGTGTTCGATTGGCAGTGCCAATGAGCACTTGGTTAGTGTCACGTGTTCATTTGATCGCACGACACTCGCGTAGTGCGCACTAAGTGGCACTTGATATTTTGACGGTGCCAGTTCAGTGCACGTTTTATCACAGTTAAGGATATACATAGGGACAAGCAAATCTGCGCAGTTGAATTGAAAACGGGGTCTTGTCCCTACTCTTATAGCGCTTTCGGCCCGACCGGGTTTGCACCAACCTGGGTTGGATTAATGACGTTTTGCGCTCACCTATTGGTAGAGCGTGTGACATCAACCAATAGAAAAGATTAATCCAACCCAGGTTGGTGCAAACCCGATCGGGCCGAAAACGCTATTAATATCTTTTACTGTGGTTTTGTAACATTTTGTTGAACATTGCTTCAAAGTGAACAAAAATGAGTTTCAGCTTTAGCACTGAAAATCTTGGCGTATTCTTTTGAACTTGCACTATTCAGTGCAACCCATGGAACTCGTCCAGTGTTGGTGTGAACTGAGTGCGCACTGGTGCGCACTAACTTTTGCTCAATCGAAAACGCTATAACTTTTGCCCAATCGAAAACGCTATTATCCATAAGGCGAGTTTCTACTGGTTGAAATCTTATTGGTTGCGTTCAGCACAATAGTAGGGGAGGAGGCCGAGAGGCTAAATGTGGATTTACTCGAGCGTCGTGATAAGAGACCCATATGTTTCTGATAACGGATAAATATTAATCTGACGGTTTGTGTGGTGGGGTTAGCTGTAGGAAGGGGTCAAAAAAAGG